TGGTAGGCCAGGCGATCTCGCAGCCGTCGCCTGGCGCGCGGGCGGGTGCGTTGACGAGAAGCAGGGGGGCATGGATATGATTGACCGATACTGTGAGGATGAGGGTAGGGAATGATGATAGAGAGGAGAGGGAGGAACATAAGGATGATGATGGTGATGATGATGATCATGCAGAGCGCAATTGGAAGGAGGGGGAGGGTGGGTTATGATGAGGTGGAAGCGGGGGCGCGATGATGTGGAGGCGCCTCAGCCTACACTTACAGACGGAAGCGTGCGTCTACGACTTGTCGGCGGGGGTGGCCCGCTAGCGGAAAGCCAGGGCCATCCTTTTCATGGCCTGGGGCGACGCCGCGGCCAAGCACGCCAAGACCTCTGCCATATATGTCATCTGCTGGGGCCACAAGATAGGCAGTGAGTGAGAGCGGGCGTGGCAGTGCCACGACGGGGCATCGGGGGAAAGGGCGAAGAAGGGAATGGAGGCGAGGGAAAGGAGGATGATTATAATGAACATGATGATGAGGAGTGTAGTAGCGGTTGCCAGGCAGCAAGACACCGTCGAGATTTTTGCAGACTCCCGTGTTCACGGCCATTCCTAAGTCTGCATGTGTCAAGACCAAAGAGATTGACACGATCGGCGAACTGTGGCACCATTTCGCGTCGTCCATGAATGCGATGTACTACAATCACCACCCTATGCTCGACACTGCCCTCCGCCCGTGGCTTAAGGATTCGTTCGGCGACAAACTCAAAGGAACGCTTGTGTTGCCACATGAGTCGTTCGGGGTCGTTTGGGACATCCTTGGTGACCTGGACCACCACGCAGACGTCTTCGGGCTCCCACGCTGGAAGACCCCCCATCCGTGCTGGTTATGTCACGCAACCCAGGCGCAGTGCATGGACTTTCGCCCAAATGCAGCCTGGAGAAACCACTTCGTCTCCCCAGCTGAATGCCTCGCGCTGGATCGCCCCCATCCAGCATTCAGGGTACTTCGCGAGCAGGGTGTGTCAGACAAGGACTTTTTTTTTTTTTTTTTTTTTTTTTTTTTTTAAAAAAAAAAAAAAAAACACCGAACGGGATCACTAGGCAGTGGCGATGGTGCAGCGGAGGATCCATGGTGATGGGTAGCGGTAGAATTATAGATGGTGGTGTTGTATGTTTCGGGGTCGTGCCTCTAAACCAGCACCGCCTCCCAGATGATCGATGTAGGATTCATACACACAATCGACCTCGGCGTGCTGCTGTACATGCGCGCGGGGGGGGGGGGGGGGGGGGGGCATGTGGCTGAGGTGCAGGACGAGCGAATATCTCAGGCAGCGCACACAGGAATTGCGTTGCAAGGAGCTGCGGCGCATGAGTCAGAAGGGGCACAAGGACCGTCTGCGCGCCCGAAAGCAAGCGCACACATATCACGCGTGAAGTATTCGTAATAGCTGCAGTACATTGCACAGTGCACCGCATCACGATACAGCAACACATTATATGGCCCAGCCGGGGGCCAACAGATCGACCGTAGGCTGCCCCAGCTCAAGCTTGCAATGTTTAAGCCACAGTCGACTGTAGACTACCCTTGCCTCAAATCGAAGGCAGCAGTATCGCGCGCCCTCGTTGGGCCGATGACGGCCGTGTGCGAGAAGGTTTTCAAGGTTGGCTCGCACGTCGCGAACTCGCACAGGCTCATGCGAGATTTTCTGATATTGCGCCAGACATCTGATCTTGTCCCCACCCCGAAGAGGGCCGACCTCCTGCAGCAAACGATGGCGCTTTTTCTGGCGTCGTACACGTGCGCCGCCCAGAGACAGGCTAAGGATAGTCTGGCTGGTTTTAACCTGCCATTTAAATTCCACTTGTCGTCCCACATTGGCGACAATGCCAAGTGGGAGGTCCCGACATACAGCACGGAGTACGAATTCGAGGACATGGCTGGCAAAGTGGCGCGCACCTCCAGCACGTGCGCGGCGTCGCTCTCCCCCGATAGGGTTGCCAAGAAAGTGGTGACCAAGTTGTTGCTCGTTTCGCGCTTGGCCGTAACTCGCGCTTGCAGGCGCGATTAGGAGCCATGCCTGATACTGCAATGGCGGCCATGCTGGCATGATGAGATGAGGGGAGGAGGAATGAGGGATGAGGGTGACGATGGAGGGATTGGGTCGACATGGCAACAAGAAGGCTGGCCGTCGGCGCGGGCAGGGTGGCGGACTCGATAGACTCGAAGTCGCCGAGCTCGTCGGCGCTCAGGTCCAACGCGGGCGGCGGGGGCGGGCCCGCACCAGACGTGCCCGAATGCCTTTCGGAAATACGATGGTGCATGTGACCAGGAGGTTGCACATTTGGGACCATGTCCCCCTCGTCGCCACGTCTGGGCGCAGCTCGAACAACTGCGCCCCCGTGGACCCCTCCCACCGCCGCCCGATGTGCGTTCCCACGTACTATGCAGAGTGTTCGCCTGCTGTCCAGGTGGGCCATGTTTTCGGTTGGAGCCAGTCGGGGCCCAATCGCCTGAAAGAGCGGTTGCGGGAAACCGTGAAATGGCAGGGATGTGGATGAGGAGGCGGAGGAGGCGGACCAGGAGGAGGAGGAGGAGGAGGGGGAGGAGGACGAGGAGGAGGAAGAGGATAATGCTGAGGCGGTTTCGCACCTATTTCGCCATCCGCGCCCTCGCCCCCCCTGTGTTTGTTTTTTTTTTCGCGTCGAGGCCGAGGGGCCCCCTCGTCGCCACGGCTGAACGGGGCCCGGAAAACGTTGTCAGTTGGGCACCGCGAGGGGTCGTGGGCTCCCGAGGTGGCCGTCGTCGGCGTCGTCGTCGCCGTCGTCCGTCGCCCTCGTCGTCGTCGTCGTCGTCGTCGTCGCCCCCCTCCGCCTGATGGCCCCGACAGCGCCGAGGGGGGTCCAGGCAGGGGGGGGGGGGGGGGGGGGGGCGGGCGACAGCGACGAACGGCGACGTTATCCAAAGGGCGCCCCGCCATGCCGCTTGCCCCGCCACCGCGGCGACAGCTGCGCGTTTGGCAGCCCCGCCGCCCGAGGGGGAGGAGGGAGGTGAGGCTCGAGCGGGGGAGGGGGGCGGGGGCGGGATGGGGGGGGGGAGGGGAGAGGAACGATGCGGGGGAGGAGGACGATGAGGAATACGAGAACGAGGGGGAATCGCGGGGGCGGATGGGGGAGGAAAGAGGGCGAGAGGAGGAGGAGGGGGGAGACGGAGGAGGGGGGGCACCTATATTCCGAACGCTTCGCGTAGCCCCACCAGCCCATCCAACGATGATTGCGATGATAGCTGGCGCGCGCAGGCAACAATAGAGACACATGGTAAAACAACGCGGTGGACAATGGATAAACGTAGCAATCCTTGCGAGTCCTCATCCTCAGTTTCTCTCCTCCTCCCCCTCGTCCTCCTCTATCCCCCGTCGTCCCTCAGGTCCCGCGCGTTGCTCTTTGCCCGTTCGAGCTATCATGTCCCCCCCCCACCCCCCCCCCCCCCTTTCCCTCCTCCTTCTTGCCCCCCCCCCCCCCCCCCCCCCCCCCCCCCCCCCCCCCCCACCACACACACACACACACACACACACACACAACACACACACACACACACACACACACACACACACACACACACACACACACACACACACACACACACACACACACACACCACACACACCACACACACACACACACACACACACACACACACACACACACACACACACACACACACACACACACACACACACACAACACACACACACACACACACACACACACACACACACACACACACACACACACACACACACACACACCACCACCCACCCCCCCACCCACCCCCACCCCCCACCACCACCCCCACCCACCCGCCCCAGCACCCCCGCGCGGCGCGCATTCCGAGGCTTGCGCCATTCCGCGACCCCTGACTTTAGGCTCTTTTTTTTTTTTTGCTGGGCGGGCCGCGCGCGCGCCCCGCCTCGCGGACGCGCGCGCGCGGTCCGCGCGCGCGCGGCTTGCGATTTTTGAGCTAGTGGTCGGAATTGGCTGCACGACGGCCGCCCGAGCGCTCAGGACACGCCTTGGGGGGGGGGGGGGGGGGCGCTTAGCCCCCCCCCCCCAGGTTTTTCCTTCTCACCCTCGCCGCCACTAGGGCGGCCTCCTGCTGGCGAGCATATACGCAGTGCACGAACCCACGCGCCCTCTCCCTCCCGCTCCACACGCGCGCACGCTTACCTCTCCCCAATCCCCCTCCCCTTCTTATTCCCTCTAACCCCTCCCCCTCCCTCCCTTCCCTAACCCTAGCGCGCCTCCCTCCCCTATATCAATATTGATATTGACAGTGATGTTGATATTGATGTTGATATTAATATCAATACTAAGATCAATTGGTACTGATGTTGGCAATTGTATTGATATTGATAATGATATTGGCACCGCTTGATATTGATATCAAATCATCGATATTGATTTATATGCCGCCGCGGAGAGCATTTTTCGAGATCTCAAAAATATGGGCCGCTCTCATTTTGCAGGCCGCCCAGCGTGGGATCTCAAACTCATGTTCTTGTTATCTCGCAGAAATATTGGTATCCCTTGAATTGAGATTTGGATGCTCTGGAAGAGCAGCATATTCGAAAACAAATGCGGGCGAAAACCTAATTCCGGGGAGACCTGCGTGTAAAACAACAGTGCGCGGGGGGGGGCGAGCATTCCCAAGACGTCATCAGGGGAAGAGGGAGAGTAGTATTCATATTGAGTAATTGTCCAGGTTCAACCGCCTCCGCTGCGCATGCTTTTCCTCGTCCCCGTCATCGCCCTCCACCTCCTCGCCCTCGTTTTCTTCGGAGGCCGCCGCCTCGTCCTCCTCCTCCTCCTCTTCCTCGTCCTCCTCCTCCTCCTCCTCCTCCTCCTCCTCCTCCTCTTCCTCCTCCTCCTCCTCCCCCGTCCTCCTCGTCCTCCTCCTCGTCCTCCTCCTCGTCCTCCTCCTCAGAGGCCCCCTGCCGTGGCTGCGCGCCGCGCCGCCGAGGTCCTATGTTGCCTACGTGGGGAAAGGCATTGTGGACGTCGTACAGAACGAGGCCCGGGCCACTAGGCACACCATGGCGTGCACCCTGCGGCGGGGCGCAGGGGCGCAATATGGGGGCTGGGGGCAGGTACGGGACGGGGCACGCGCACCCGGGTCCGGCAGCGTGCAGGGAGAGGAGGCGGAGGAAGAGGAAGAGAAGGATGAGGAGGAGGAGGAGGAGGACGAGGAGGACGAGGAGGAAGGGGAGGAGGAGGAGGGGGAGGAGGAGGAGGAGGAGGAGGAGGAGTTGAGGACTGGAGGAGGGACGGAGGAGGAATGGAGGAGGAAGAAGAGGAGGAGGAGGAGGAGGACCAGGAGCAGGAGGCGGAGGAGACAGAGGGGCGGAGGGATGGAGGGGAGGAGGCGGAGGAGGAGGACGGCGACCAGTGTAATGCCAAGACGCATCAATGATGTTGCAATGAACCCTCCATCCAAGTTTCCTCTTCACTGGTCCCTGCGATCATGTATTCTTATAAGCGGAACTGCCCCAAGGAAGACAATGTTCTAATAATCTTCACTGGTGCCAAAACAATCTTCACTTGTACCAAAACACCATTCTCGGGATTTCAACGCCGCGAATCAGCGTGGCTGTTGCGTCCCGACTTGTAAGCCGTGCCAGAACACGCGAATCAACGTGACAAATGCGTCCTAACAGCCTTAAGCCGTGCCAGAACACCGTCCGTGGGAACTACCATACGAATCTCCGAGCTGCTGCAGGATTGCGAAAACGAACGAACGTGCGCGGCGCTCAGGCGAGAGCCACATTTTGAAGCGGAGCCGCCCTCCACCCTTACAACTGTTGCAACTTGTAGACGAATGTGCTTAACAAAAGCGCCAAGGCGAGAGTCACATTATGAAAAACTGGCCGCCCTCCGTCCTCGAAGCTGCTGCAAACTCTTGAGACACATGTGCGCGGCTCTGAGAGGAGAGCCACATGTTGAGAACCGGTCGCCCTCCGTCTTTGAGGCTTGTGGAATGCTTAAGACGAGTGTGCACGGCGCAGAGGCAAAAGCCACATTGTGAAAAGGAACCGCCTTCCATCCTTGAAACTACTGCCAATTGCTATGGCGAGTGTGTGAGGCGACAAGGCGAGAACCGCGCTTTGAAAACTTCCCGCCCTCCATCCTTGAAACGGCTTTAAATTTTCAAGCCTCAGGATCATACGTGGCGAGGAAGTCTCATGCGAGACGCGCGGTCCGCCCTTCCGACACGTCTTGAGGTGTGACAGGGATGAGTTGATGTTTATCCGGCAATGGGATGAAGGAGGAGAATGAGGAATGTGGAGGAGGAGGAGGAATGAAGGAGAAAAACGGTAGGAGGCGGAAGGGAGAGAGGGAGGATGAGCAGGAGGAGAGTGTCAGGAGGGGCAGGCACGATGCTGATTCCCCCACCCTGTCGCAGGTGTCCAAGCGCGCCACTCCGACGCTGGCTAGCTTCAACGACCGCGAGCGCATGTTAGGCGAGTGCCTGGGGGTCCCGCGAGGAGGATCGTCCGATATCATCGAAGGTCCTGTTCTCCTCCTGCTCCTTGTTCTTCCCCCCCCTGCCCTCCTGATCAGCTTTCCTCCCCTTCCCCTTCCTCCCCCTTCCAACGGCTCACCGTCGCTTCCTCTTCCCCAGGCGACACGGGACCATTTTTGTTGCTGTTGATTGTTCAGCCCCAAGCGGTTCAAAGTCGCATCGGTCGGTCGTACTGGTTTTTGGTTGTGGTTTGTCCGACTTTGGGTCGGAGCGTTCAAGAGGGTTGGGGACCCGATGGAGGGGCAATGTTTTGCAAGCGGATGATCAGCATCAACAGCAGGACACTGGAAGGAGGAGAAGGAGGCGGAGGAGGAGGAGAAAGAGGAGTAGGAGGAGGAGGCGGAACGTGGAAGAAGGAGGAACGAGAGGGAGCAGAAACGAGGAGGAGGAGGAGGAGGAGGAGGGACGAGGAGGAGGAGGACGAGAAGGAGGAGGAGGACGAGGAAGGATGAAGGAGGCAGGAAAAGGGAGAAAGGTTGCAGTCTGAGGAGGAGGAGGAGGAAGAGGAAGGAGGCAGGAAGGATGAGGCAGGAGGAAGAAGGAGGCAGGAAGGAGGATGCAGCAGGAGGAGGCAGGAAGGAGGAGGACGAGGAGGAGGAGGAGGAGGAGGAAGAGGAGGAGGAGGAGGAGGAGGAGGAGGAGGAGGAGGAGGAGGAGCACTCCCGTCCACTCCCCTGGTCTCCCCCCTCCCTCTGCCCCCCGCCCCCCCCCCGCCGCCCTCACGCCCCGCAGGCGACCAGGCCCTGGCCCAGATTCGCTCCAACGCCAAGAACACGTGTAGGCGCGCGGCGCGCCCGCCTTTCCCGCGACCCGACTACGCGGGGGATTGGAGAGCGCGCCTCTTCACGACGTCGTGTTTTTTTCTTTTCACCGGGCGCGTTCCACTACTCGCAAAGTGCCTACTCGCTCAAGCCTTAAGGATCCTTGAGGGGGGGGGGGCCGGGGCGCATTTTGGTGGGGATCGGCACTCGCCCAGTGTTGCTTCCTATCCAAATCGCCCGCTTGGCTTCTCCAGAGGTGCCCAGAGGTGCCTCGGGACGTCGGAAATCATGTCTTTGGAGGGGCTTCTGGGGACATGATTCCCCTGTTACGTTGTCCCTGCCCCACATACAAAAACATGTCTTCCTCCTTTACGTAATGCACCGTACGTAAATCTCCCGCGGCGGATCCAGGCCAACTGCGAGTCGTTTCTTATAGTTTCTTTGCGCGTAGTGGACCGCGCTTGTCTGGTATTGCCTCCCCGACGTCGGACCTCGGGCACCTCGTCCTCCAACCATGGGCGGGCCCACGGCACCGCGCGCAGACGCGGCAGGCCAGGCGGCCCAGAGGTCGTACGCACCGTCGGCGGCACTCGGCACGGGTGCCCAGCGATGGACGCCTCGGCAGCGCGCAGGTCGAGGGCAACGTCAAGGGCGGGATATCGAAGAAGCAAACACGTCATAAACATGAACTGTTGGCGCTCCGCGCGGATTTCTTGGATCCGCGCTGGACCCCCCCCACCCCCCGGCGCCGCCTCGCGCCAGGGAGGGGGTCCAGCGCAGATCCCAGAAATTTGCGCGGAGCGCCCGAAGTTTATGTTTATGTAGTTTTTTGCTTCTTTACACGGGGGGATGCATCGACATGCAATCGCCCATTCATCGCTGATAAGGGCTCCATGGCCCACCCCGCCCAGGAACGTGCGGCCCGACAGGGGCTCGATATCAGCTGCGCCTCGTCGAGGGCGTTCGGGGGTGCCAGGATCGCCCTGAACGGCCGCCAGAGAGCTGAGTTATGACGCGACAGGCAGGGGACAACGTTATGGGGACAGGCTCAGGGGGGGGTGGGGGGGCGCATCGACCCCGAGTCGCCCATTGATCACCGATAGGGGCCCGATAGCCCACCCCACCCAGGAATGTTCGGATTCGCTATGGGGGCCTGTCGCCGATCTATCGGCGAAGTATCGCCGATTCCAGGTCGATGTTTCCCCCCCTGAGCTGGTCCCCCCATTAACTTTGCCCCTCAAGCACGAACGTGTCAGGGAAGCGGCAGGAACGTGCCACTCTCGCGCGAGAGGGTGCTTCGGCAGCGCCCAGGAGTGAAGGAAGCGCGAACATGTTCTGAAATGCGCTCAGTAGGTGCAAGAATAGTTGGTGCGTTCGTCGGGTTCATAGATGGGGATGTGGCTTGCGAGGTGGTGCGAACGGTTGCCCTCGAACGCGTGGCGAAATTGCGTCCCCAAGAATTGGGAAAGGCCTCCTGGAATGGCCCATACTGCATCCCCCAGGGTGAACGCAGCAAATTCGCACCGAGGCGCGTGGGTTATCGGCGGGTCCCGCTTTCATGCAGAATCGACGATTCCGTCGCCGAATCAGGCGGCAATGGGTCCACGTTGCGGGAGGGATCTGACGCCCACGCGGCAGGGGTCAGATCGTGGAGGTCACGGGTCTCGTGTTGGCGTTGGGGTGGCGGCCGCCGCACGTTCGCCTGCGCATTGTGGAGGCCGTGGTGCAGCGGCCTCACCGCTGTTTAGGGAGTAATGTGTTCCGCCATGGGGGACGTCCTCCTCCTCCTCCTCCTCCTCCTCCTCCTCCTCATCCACCTCCTAGGCTGCCGTTTGAGGGAATCGAAGCTTACCTTGCCTTAAGGATTGCAGTGCCGCGCCCAAGGTAGTCCTTGCGCCCCAGACCCCACAAGCTCTCGGGGGCAGAGGGGACAAGGGAACCGCCACGGTTGCTGCATACGGCGGCCACGTCGGCAGACCAGGAGCGCCGCCAGGATTCGGCATCGAGCGGACCCGGATCAGGCGGCAGCAGCGAAACAAACGCAATGCACGATTAGAAAACGAAGTGAAATGTCTTGCGAGCCCAATTCGAGAGTTGGTAGACCAGAGTATCAGCAATGAGGATTCCGCCAGCAACATCCAGCTGGAAGCATCGAAGTTGCAAACATATGAGGAGAGCGGGAATCAATCAGAAAACACATAATGTTATGGTTGCCAGGATCGATTCACAATGAAGCAAATTTCAAATTTGACCAGATGTCAACATACATGGAACATAATTTTCCTTGGGCTGGATTCTCGGCTAGATGATTTGAGCCAGATGCCTTGGTGAGCTCGCCAGTCGTCAACGATGTTCTCATAACATAAACCGAACAACTGGAGGAAACAATGGGGCTTGCAGCATAGCTCAACAGGGATCCATTGGTTCTCCGTCTTAAAAGCACAAAAGCATGTCTATCACACATATACAAGCGCGTGGAACAATATTCGAAGATTTGTGCACTGCTCGGTGTGCAACATTGACAAAGACACGACCACAACATACACATTTGACATGCTGTTGAACCAAATGTTCGACATGTTTTCGACAAAGGAAGGACTCACATTCTCGGACATCACGTTGCGACTTGAACACGAAGCTTCAAAGCTGGATGTGTACGCAGCATTTGAAACATGGATATATGTTGGGGCTGTGTTGAGCTGCAAGCTAAAATATATACAATGTTAGCCAGCGTGGAGCCCAAACATAATGTTATTGCAGTCGTTGCGGTGCAGTATATGTGGTGTGATGCGTGCGATGCAACCTATGTCATGCAATGTGCGCGGTGCAGTCTATGTGGTGCGATCCACTCTGCTGAACTTGAAGTCGTCATCTCCACTGCTCGCGCAAACATCCCACCCACCCACCCGCAACTTGGTTTGCAGAACCTCTTAAGACCGACTACGACGACACCGGCGACAACGACGACGACGACGACACCGACGACGTCTCCGACGACTTCGACGACGACACCGACGCCGACGCCGACGACGACGAAGACGACGACGACGCCAACGAAGACGACGACGAGGGAGGAGGAAGGACGACGACGGTGACAACGACGACAACGACGACAACGACGAGGGAGGAGGGAGGACGGCGACGACGCGAACGACGAAGGAGGAGGAAGGACGGCGACGCCGCCGACGACAACGACGAGGGAGGAGGGAAGACGACGACGACAACGACGACGACGACGACGGCGACGAAATAGGAGGGACGACGACGAGACGCCGACGACGGACGACGACGACGACGAGGGAGGAGGAGGAAGGACGACCACGGCGACAACGACGACGGAAACGACCACGACGCCAAAGAGGACGACGACGACGAACACGAGGAAAGACAGAGGACGACGTAGGCGACGACGACGACGACGTGGGAGGAGGGAGGACGGCGACGACGACGACGACGACGCAAGAGAGCGCGCGCACGCTTTTTCTTGAAAATGCGTGTTGCGAAACCTTGGGTTTTTGCAGGTTTCTTGGACACGATTTTGAAATCCTTCCGAAACCGATGGGTTTTGAAGGTTTTCGGCATACGCGCGCGACGACGCGCGCGTCTGCACTTCGTCTCATTTGTTGCAGCGACGGCACACGCGCAAGGGCGTTCGACTGGTTTTGACATGCGCGCGCGCGAAGCCCGTTTAATATAGCATGTTGTGAAAATATAGAAAACCCAAGGTTTTCTTAAGATTTCGCAAGCGCTCGCGCGGAAGTTTTTTTAGCAAATCCGTGTTGCGAAACCCCGTGTTTTTGTATGTCTTTGTTTGGAAGCTCGATTGCGAAATCATTCGGGCAGCGAAGGTTTTTGAAGGATTTCGGCATGCGCGCGCGACGACGCGCGCGTGCGCATTTCGTTCCATTTGTCGTAAATGGATTCGCGAAACAGTGTTATGTTAGAACAAACATGTCACCGCATAGTGTTTGTTTTACAAGGGAACCTTAGGGGGGGAACCCGGCTGGCCTGGGATAGTGTAAATTCATATTTCGGATGGACATGTGGTCAGAATCATGTATGTTTAACATACCCGAAAGGGGGGCCGATAACGCCGGGGGGGGTAGATCCTATTCTGTTTTTAGAAAAGAAAATTAATCTTTGTCCGTTTTGAAGCTGTCCTCTCCATTGCTCGTGCAAACATCCCACCCTCTCACCAGCAACTTGGTCGCAAAACCTCTTAAGACAAGACCGTGACGGTGGGTACCACATGGCACTTGGCCACGGCACCGACGACGACAGCGACAACGACGACGACGGCGCCGCCGACACCGACAACGACAACACCGACGACGTCTCCAACGACTTTGACGCCGACGACGACGACGACGACGACGACGACGAGGGAGGAGGGAGGACGACGACGGCGACAACGACGACAACGACGACAACGACCAGGGAGGAGGGAGGACGGCGACGCCGACGACGACAACGACGAGGGAGGAGGGAAGACGACGACGACGACGACGACGACGGCGACGAAATAGGAGGGACGACGACGAGACGCCGACGACGGACGACGACGATGACGACGAAGGAGGAGGAGGAAGGACGACCACGGCGACAACGACGACGGAAACGACCACGACGCCAAAGACGACGACGACGACGAACACGAGGAAAGACAGAGGACGACGTCGACGCCAAAGAGGACGACGACGACGAACACGAGGAAAGACAGAGGACGACGTAGGCGACGACGACGACGACGCGGGAGGAGGGAGGACGGCGACGACGACGACGACGACGCCGCATGAGCGCGCGCGCACGCTTTTGTTGAAAATGCGTGTTGCGAAAGCTTGTGTTGTTGCATGTTTTTTGGACACACGATTTTGAAATCCTTCCGAAACGGATGGGTTTTGAAGGATTTCGGCTTACGCGCGCGACGACGCGCGCGTCTGCGCTTCGTCCCGTTTTTTGCAGAGGATATTCGCGACGGCACACGCGCAGGGGCGTTCGACTGATTTCGACATGCGCGCGC